AAATTTGTAGCACTCATAGATTTCATGATGAACAAAGTAAAATGCGCTATTACCATATTTACTGACAGTATGTGATCTGTTAGCCTCTATCCTCAACAGTTACCACTATATTATCCGAGAGGCGTGTAGGGCATGTGGGGCACTGTGTTGGTCTTTGTGCCTGAACTATGCCTAGACACTAGAGCTATGTTATTGCAAGGTGCCTGTACATCTTGTAGCAATAGACTTGGAGCCTACATTCATGAGCTTGTAGTCTATTACTTATTACCAGCTCATTCATTTTTAATATAGCTGATATGATTGAACAAAACTAGCCATCTAATTTTGCTTACGATTGCTGAAGAGTAAATACACCCACCTCTCATGAAAAACCTGTACTGAGGTTAACCTGCAATGAGTTAGTTGTCATCAGTAATATGATACATCAGAGCTATAGCTTGAATGTACTCAGTTTGAATATTATCTGTGGTTACTGTTTATTTATGAATTTTTTTCTGCTGGTTCTACCAAACTGTGAACTGGTTCCTAGGAAACATGCATCCGAGTCTGCTATTACTCTTGGTAGCTGTAAATGTTATCTTCTGATGTATTTGTCAAAGATTTAGCAAATATGCATCCGAGTCTGCTATTACTCTTGGTAGCTGTAAATGTTATCTTCTGATGACTGATACAAAAGTTAAGTCGATATTCTTATAGATTATTGTTCTTCCTGCATAAACAAACATGTCAACTACTTACTTTTAGCCAGGATTTTATATTATTGAGACCATAGAATACAATCTTATCTGTACTATAATACTAATTTTATTCTTAGGTGGTGGAAGTGGTCATGAGCCAGCCCATGCGGGATTTGTTGGGCCAGGAATGTTGACAGCTGCTGTTTCTGGAGATGTTTTTGCTTCTCCACCTGTTGATTCTATTTTAGCTGTATGTTTCTTTCAATAAAACTGTGTCAACCTGCTTTCACTGCTAAGATTGCTCTAGCTCACATTTTTTGCACTGTATGTTTGTTTTGTAGGCTATTCGAGCTGTAACGGGCACCATGGGATGCCTTCTGATAATAAAGGTACTCAGTAGTTTCTATTATGAAAGGACATTCATTAGTTAATAGGAACAACATAATGCATCTGAAGTTTGCTTTATCTGATGTTTGCGAAGTTGGGATTGATCAATGCCAATTTGATTCTCAGAAAGATTTCCTATCGTTTTCTTCACCTGTTTAATTCTGTGTACTGTTTAGACAAATACGTCTATGGATGGACAGGGGGCTCAACTTTTAGCACAGATTCCTGAAAATAAACTTGGGACAAACTAAATTGCTAGCTGTAGATATGGTCGATTGGATTTTCTTGAAAGGCAATTTTGTCTGTGTAGAGTGTACAGAGCTAAGAATTTGACTTGGGGGTTGAATTTTGCATATTTGTTAAGTTCTTGGCAATTTTACCGGTGAAGGTCTGTGGTCTCTCTCCTGCTCAAAGTGCTATGCAAGCTCCTGGAGACACTAGCTGTGGTGAAAGACTGAGAAGGAATGGAGGGAACACCCTCAATATTTATTTGTAGTATTATAATTATTTTGAGGAAATGTTCTTGAGGTGAGAAATACAGTCAAAGAAAACAAACATTACACTTAAAATCTTTTTATTTATGATGTTGACACCGTTCTCTACTGATTATTGGATGAAGGCTATCCTTGACCTATGCTCAAAAAGGAAAAACCTAGCCACTGCCCACTGGGGCTTACTTGGCTATAGATGCATGTGTGGTGCTGTTATGCTGGTGTTGTTTCCCAAAAATTTAATCTGTAGTGCTTGTTTCTGTTTATGTTATTGTATTTTGTTCTAGTTGCACTACATTCTGTTCTCCAAGGTACACTGCATTCTGTACTCACGTTCTGTTGTCGGACATTTGCAGAACTACACTGGTGATAGACTTAATTTTGGATTAGCTGCTGAGCAGGCAAAATCTGAAGGCTATAAGATAGAGGTTGATGAGCATATAACATCTTACGACCTTAGTATAGCATACCATATTAAAATCAGCTTGTAATCAGCATTTATCCACCAATTGTAGATGGTAATTGTTGGAGATGATTGTGCCCTTCCCCCGCCTCGGGGGATAGCTGGTAGAAGAGGTTTAGCAGGAACAATTCTTGTGCATAAGGTATTCCATTGTGGCCATTGCCGTTTCGATTTTAGGTTCTTGTTTTATGCATTTTGGTGATTACTGCTGTGTTACACTTCTTGATTTGTTAAGCAATGCACCTAGGAAAATCCCTTCCAATAGATCTACCACTTGTTCATGCATTTTTCTGGTTTGACCAGCTTGTATCTTGTCTAAACAAACCGATGGTGCCTAGTTATTAGGTGCTAGCCTGCTAGATGAGGAAATCATAGTAGCAGACATTAACCAGGAATTATTTTGACTGATGAGGCACTATCTTTTTTCCTGTTTGTACTTAATAAAACTGATACTATGTGGTGAACAAATTCCGTCATTGTGGTTGTCTTAATTGATACTATGTGAGGCCAGCATTATGTGCATCATGTCCATTAACCTGCAGCGTGAGGCTTAGCTTTGCGACCTCTATTTCCTTGCTTATCATGTTTGTCAGTTAGTTTCAAAAGGTTAGTGCTAAGTAAGATGTGAAATAATCAGGGTTTGTTAGGAAGGATCTGATCTGACTTGTGGACCAAGGAGTTATACATATAATGGACTAGTGTGTAAGCCTCAGGCTCATCAAAGGAGGTTTCTCCTCCACATACCCTGTCCCTGTCGATGTCATTAGTGCCACAGTGCAGCCACCACCTCATCGCTACATTCTCACGAACTTGGGCTGTGACAGTGTCCACCAACATTTTGTGGTCATCCTAACTTGAATAGAAAACCAATGCCTTGTTGTAAATATTTCCTGCTGTTCTCTGAAGTCTTCACTTCGTTTGATTCTACAGGTTGCTGGGGCTGCTGCAGATGCTGGCTTATCTCTTGCAGATGTTGCTGCAGAAGCAAAACATGCATCTGAGGCTGTTGGTACAATGGGAGTAGCACTTTCTGTTTGCACGTTGCCTGGGCAAGTGACATCTGATCGTTTAGGTCCTGAGCAAATTGAGCTTGGCCTTGGAATTGTAAGTCTAGACGGCATCAACAATTGTTTGCTTTCAGTATACCCAAGAGCTGCAAACTTTATTTTTTTCCAAATACAGTAAGCATCTGATTTGTTTCCCAGCATGGAGAACCTGGTGCTGCTGTTGTTGAGCTACAGACGGTTGATGTGGTGGTCGAACATGTTCTTAAGCAGATACTATCACAGGTGTGGTTGGTGATATGCAATTTATTTATTTCTATCCTCTCTTGTGTTTCTCCATTTCTCCTTTAGTTCACTGCAAGCACTGAACTGTTGTTAGACATCTGTCCAATCTTTATCAGTCATGTTTGAGTACAATGAAATCATGTTTTTTATTCTTTGTGAAATTCAACACTAAGCTAAGCTTAGCTAGCTATAATTTGTTCTGAAATACCAAAAGGTGAAGTTTGCAGAAGGTTATGAAAATAACTAGGGTAGGTCCTACTAGTAATAAAGAGGCCATTGCCTGAATGCCAGGGAAAGGAGTGGAATGGGGGTTGAAAGTTTGGGTGGGACTCTCCTTCCATTGCATCAGTTTACCTTGATTTAATCATTTCACAAGCACTTAAGGTTAATGCTGAAAGGACAGTAGCCTTCAGTAAGAAAGAGAACTCGTGCTGTTCCTGTCCTGGTATAAAGTTTAACTTTCGTAGATACTGTTTCAGTGTGAGTTTCTGCCAACTAATGTTACTTGTATTTACTGGTCTTGTTACTTTTGCTTATTGTGTGGTCTTTCGTATTTGCAGGAAACTCAGTATCTTCCTATCACAAGAGGGAGCAATGCTGTTCTCCTAATCAATGGGTAACTACAAATCTGAGCATTTTTGTTACTTTAAGAGTTGATTTTTACCATCAGAAAATTACCAGCACAAATACTGAATATGACTAGGATAGTTATATGGGTCTGCAATGTATTTCACCATTTGCAGCTTTCACAGTGATTAGAGAATTTAGTACTTAAGATGTCGGTTCTGGAGAAATTTGACTATGCCCATTATCTATCTAGTTATCCATTTCTATTACAATGGAAAATGTCCCCAGGAAACTGACTGGTATGTGACGCTAGGACTGAAGCAGACATTGATTTAGCATTTTTAGGAGACTGAATACCATCTCTCAGTGGCTTCAGTAAGATTAAAGGGGTCTGAAACTAGGACCAACTGTCAAACTCAGACTAAGTGTTGTTAATTTTACCCATGAATCATCTTCCATATTAATCACTGCCATAAATCTACTGTGGCAAACTTTGATATCTTTGGAGGTGCATTACTGTATCAGTTCCTTTATCTGCATTGTTTACATTATGAATCAAGTAAGTCATGTTACTTTGTTGTCTAATACCATCTTACAGATTAGGTGCTACTCCTGTCATGGAGCTTATGATTGCAGCAAGAAAAGCGGTGCCTGAGTTACAGTTGGAGTATGGGATTGCTGTTGACAGAGTCTACACTGGCACATTTATGACATCACTTGATATGGCTGGTTAGTTCTTGTATGGATCTTTCTAAGAGAACCTTGATATCTGCTAAAGGCCCTAAGATAATCTGTGGCTAAGCTTTATGAACATCTCTCCACTTTAATTACTACTTTAGTGACCTAGAACATCTTATATTAGTTTACAGAGGGAGTAATTAGTATCACACATATATTATGATGATCTGGGTGGTTGCTTGAACATGTATCCGCATTAATTTCATTTGACCAATTGCTGATTATCTAGCCACTTCACTTTTCTGCTAATGTGTTGTATTCTGCATTTTCATCGGATATGCAATCATTTGACTTGTGGCTAATTCCTTAGTTTATTATGAATGGCATATATTAAATACTTTAAATTATGTTTTCATTGCAGGACTTTCTATCACCATTATGCGATCAGATGAAAACATTTTGCAGCGACTTGACGCTCCCACTAAAGCTCCAGCTTGGCCTGTTGGTTCTGAAGGTAGTTATCTTGCTAGCAGAAAACTAGTTGCATGTCTGCAGCCGTTAGCCACTAATATCTGTATTCTAGGTTTTTGATGTGATGGGTTTTCTAGTTCTGTGCCTTCTGTTACTAGCCTTTTGTTTTTGAGAATACTTAAGTTTACGTTATTGGTGATCTTTAGCACAACTACACTTTCAAACTCTTTCTGTACAACCTTTAATTGGAGGCTGCAGAACCAGGCTAGTTTGGGTGCAGAAAATAGCAGGATTTTTTTTTTGAACTGAATGTAGAGTGCGAAGTTACCAGCGTTTTAAATATATTTTTGGTTTTATCACACATCATTTAGTATTAGTTTGTTACAAAAGAAGGCTTTAAGCTCTGATACAACATTTTTGCCGTCCAACCACCAGTTTTCTAATGATGTTTATTGTAGGAAATCGCCCACCAGCAAAATTCCCGGTTCCAGTACCACCATCACCTTCAATGAAGGATGATGAGGTAAAGTAAAATCCTCTTCCCTGAGGCTGTAATGCTGGTAGTAGGTTCACCTTCGCTTTTATTTAGAAATATACAACTATACAAGAACCTCATAATGCTATTGACTGGTTCTGCATGGGTTGTATTTATAAAGGTCTATTCCAGTTATTGTCTAGATAGCATTTTTTTTAAAGATACCAGAGGAAAGGTGAGGAGAACACAGTGGTAATAAAAAGGAGAACTATGAAAACATTTTTCTTGTCTGACAGCAAGTTTAGCAAATACCAGTGTGAAGTTTTGACCATACTGGAATATGCATGTCAGTTGCCACTCCCAATTTCTTAAGCATGATGGTTAGCTATTGTTCTGCAGATTCTTTCAGAACGCCAGGAACTAAGCAAGCAAGGCTGTATGTTGGAGGCCGCTATTGAAGCAGCTGCTAAAGAACTCATTGATCTCAAGGATAACCTAAATGATTGGGACAGTAAAGTCGGTGACGGTGACTGTGGAACTACGGTAGGTCTAGTAGGGTTTATCAACTTAGTGTTTGTCCGATGAGAGCTGTTTTAAGATTCATTACTGGCTGATTTTTTTTCCAGATGTATAGAGGTGCAACAGCTATTCTTGAAGATATGAAAACACGGTAAGTTACAAACAATGCATATTATTGATGTGCGACTCCCCGTACCTAGTATTCGCATGTAATTCTTGTAAAGATTCACTGGTTAAGGACAGCATTTCTTTCTGCGTCATGGTCCTGTTTTTTCATTCAAACCCTTCTATGTTGGCTGGGGTTTTCCAGTCATCCATACAAGTTGACCTTATTTAAGTCGACTTTCCTCTTTGCCAGTTCCTCTTTACCAGTTAGCATATTTTAAGTCAACTTTCCTCTTTGCCAGTTATCATCTGAACGATGCAGCTGGAACAGTAAATGAGATTGGGTCAACAATCCGGAAGGTGATGGGTGGAACAAGTGGAATCCTGTAAGAAATCTGTGCTTGTCCTTTCCTTGTTGCATTATTGACCAGAATTGAAAACACAAGTAATTATTCTTCTATACTATGCTTCAGGTATGACATACTCTGCAAGGCTGCATATGCAAGCTTAAAACAAAACAAAAATATTACGGCATATGAATGTAAGATATATGTTCATCAATCATTATGATTGAAAGCTTAAGAAACAACATATATTTCATTATGATCCGAGACAACTATCAAGAAATGTGCATACTAAACAAAGTATGCTGCTTTTCCGCAGGGGCTGATGCTTTAGAAGCCTCTATTGCTGCTGTTAGCAAATATGGTGGTGCCAGAGCAGGATATCGCACAATGTTGGATGCTCTGATTCCCGCTTCTACAGTTTTGAAACAGGTTACTTCCCAAGCCTTGCTCTTCCGGCAGTATTATCTTTAATTATGTGATGTATTCATTGTGCTTGAACAGTCGCTTAAAGCTGGGGATGATCCGGTGACTGCATTCATCGCTTCTTCTGAAGCAGCATTAGCTGGCGCTGAATCCACTAAACAAATGCAAGCAAAGGTATGATCTTTCACCTGGCCCTTGCTTAAGAAGAAATATAAACCTATAACTTGCCTTGTCTCGTTCAGCAAAAGCTTTTCTTAAGTTTTTTGAGCTCGTGCAACTGTAGCTCCACTAAAATCTGTATTCTTGTGCCTTTCCCTTTGATTATGCCCGTTCCTGTAGTAATGAGGTTCGGTTGCACTTGCAGGCAGGACGGTCATCGTACATCTCTCCCGACCATCTGGTTTCAATTCCTGACCCAGGAGCAATGGCTGCAGCTGCATGGTACCGGGCCGCAGCGCTTTCGGTGAAGAACAAGCTGCATGCTTCAGAAAGCTAGTAGTAGTGCATGCTATGCCTCATTCACAGTCCAAAATACTATACTGACGGCGAAATCCTCAGGGGCCTTTGTCAATCCCCCTGATTTGATTTCCGCTTGTGCTTTGCATGGGCCGAGAAATCGAGTTCCGTATTGTTTTGTGCTGAGAGCAGTTCAAAGGATTCGTAGACTTATACAAAGGTTGAGTGAAAGTATGCTTTTGCCTTGCTGGCGAAGTGATTATTGTCTGTGCGTGTCCGCGTGGGGTGGTCAATGGTGTTGAAGATTAATGATTGTTGTCTATTTTACCTGAATGGCCGGAACCGCATCAATTTTTCATCTTGACGGTAGTATTTTTCTCAGCCTTCCGCAGATTTTTGGATGACAATGATGCTTTAGACATAAGGTGCTCATCTGGCCAACTCTAGAGGTATAAACCTGGTGTTCCAATTTTATAAACAAAAATATAAAATACAACATATCATCTTGTTTGGATTGCTATAACTAATTATATAGTTTCCTTCAAACTTGCATTACAAGGTAACAAGAATGGTTAAGATTGTCTAGGTGAGAATCGTGCATTGTGTAGCTAATTGTGTGCATTGTTAATGGGGTAGTTAGGCAGACCTAGGTACCAATGTTTGAAACTAATTTTTCTAGGAGGAATATCTCCAGCCTCTGCATCATTTGTGATCCACACAACCATATTTATTAAACCACAAGTATCATCATCCAATACAATGAAATCAGCAAATGTATTGAAATAACTACAACCAACGAAAATTAGGATATCTACAGAGCCTATTATTGGACTGTCATCCTAACTGGTTGAATAATGTTTAAAACTGATGACTTCAGGCTTGTACTGATGACTTCAGGCTTGTTCGGAATTTCACCAGCTCCATAAAATTCCGAGAGCTGAGAAGCCAGGAAATAGTTGCGCCGCAATTTTTAACTGTAACTCTCACCAACTCCGGGAATGGAATTGTGGAGTGGAGGGGCTCCGAAGAGGGCGTTCGTCTATTCTTTGAGCTATGTGATTTCAGTCTTAGGCGTCCCGTGCAAGCGTAATGTAAATACATACAGCAACTGCTTGCGTTTGAGACGACGTAGGAGTAAAGAATTATACTGTCTTCAGCTTCTGCAGTTGTAACCTACAGATCGGCGCACATGATCCGCGAGTGTTTCTCATAGGATCTAAGGAGTGATTGGACAATCATTCGAAAGAAACCTGCTAACCTGTTGGCTAGTTTATTGAACATTGCTTATGAACTAACTGTACTAACTAAATTGGATGTTTGGAACTGATTACGTAATATAATATGCTACTCCTACAATATATACGATTGTGCACCTAATAATTAGTAAATGCTCCAGGCATGGAACCGCTTGGGTTCGCTTAGCTGAGAACTAATGGACTTACTCTATGCATATATAGATCAGTTTTCAGTAGTAAGTGTACTTGAGTTCCGAATTAACTTCCTGGGCGAAGCTTTACCGCTCTCTACCAACTAGATGCCACTTCTCTGTTAAAAAAATATGCTACTTTATTGATAAATGACATTTTTATTCTTTTTGTAAAATAAAAATTTCTTTTTGTTGTGTGCATCATGTTATGCAGAGGTTCTACATTTGTTCAGTGCGGTTGTATCACCTCAATATACCATTTGAATGAAAATGTCATTCATCTGGTTCAAATAAAAAGGTGATTACGAGTTGTCAAGGTAAAGGAACCTTTGTTGGGATTTTTTTTTTATGGAAGACATTACCATGGCACATACGTGTTTATGTGGTATGTTAGATGGTTGGGAAGTTCGACTACATATTCCAATCATTGTGCGCTCAATAAGGGTGGTGTAACCAACCTTTGAGTAGGTAATATCTCTTTTCATGTATTTTTTCTGTAAAGTATACAACCATCAATAAAATGTAGATACGCAGTACGATCATTGTGCTTGCTCATTTGTTTAAAGCTAGTGCTTTCAAGTATTAGCTAAATCATCACCGTAAAGCTTATAATAATGCAAGAAAAGCTTAGCCAAAAGAAAGAGAGGCTGGGAATTAAGCGAGATTCTTGGCTGGTGCTATAGAATATTGTTCTGCGATAGCTACAGGCAGGGCAAGGATGCTGCCTGCTGCTTAGGGTTCTGCATATCTAATCTGGATAATGTCTGCTTCTTGCCTGTCACAGCTAGTTAGTGCTTCCTGATTAGCTAACTTGCACTGACTGTGAGCATGCGGACCCGAGTACACCTGGCAAAATTAAGGGCGTGCAGGGTTTGGGAGAACACTCACGTGATTGTTTCCTTACACCGTAATAAGTGAAGCCTATCTAATCCCAATCCTAATCACCTGCCTTGTCTCTAGCTAGGACATCTTTTCTGTAAATCGTTTTTATGTTGTTCTTTATGGACTTACGCCCACGGTCTGTCTTAAAATGTAAGATACACTTCACTTTTCAAAATCTCCAATGCATAAACTTTACAATGAAATTTTGTGTAATATGCCTAAAATGGTATATGACTTAATAGAATCTTGCAAAAAAAAAACAATAATATTAGCCCTCCATGCTCAATCTATTCATAGTTTTAACACATTGACTGTGCATATAACATACTCTTGCAAGAATAAAGTACAGTCTATTCAAAGTTCTAACACATCGACTGTGCCTATATAATTATTGTATTTCTAAGTGGAGGTACTACTATATCCTTATTGGTCTTGAATTTCCTTTCTGGATGGAGTGCCTTATTATGTAGTATATGCAAATGGTAGACTTCAAAGCACAAATGCTCAACGCATGGGTAGTGTTCGTCTCAAAGTTATTGGGTTGGATAAGATATATGGGTGATGGTGATGAAAGTTTGCGAACGCCCTCGATAGATATATCTTCTCGAAATCCGCATCAATTGCCTTGTCCTTGGACGTGATGTCTCGAGCTAAGGTCTGAGCACTGCAGTCCTAAAGTATGAGCTCGTGGACTAGCGATGCTCATTATTTTACCCACTTTCCTTATAATTAGACCATTTTCTCTGGGTCAATTTGTAAGATGAAGGAATGGAGTTCCAGGACCTACCATTAAATGTAAAAGGGAAGTCAGGCAAGGAGATCCACACTCCCCTCTTCTATTTGTTGTAGCTGCTACTAACCTCCGTCCGGGTTTATTGCCCCTCGTATTTTGTGCCAAACTTTGATCATCTATTAACATAACAAAATATAAATCATATGATACAAAAAGTACATTGTTGGATTTGTATTTGAAAGAACTTTCCCACATACCATGGCATCTTGTTTATTGGACCCCCTCATGACATATTGTTTATATTTCATTAGTAAAATTTATGGTCAAACTTTAGCCCAGAATAAGAGGGGGCCTAATAAACCCGAACGAAGGTAGTAATATATTTTAGTCTGCCATCAGTGACGCTCTTGCTCAAAGGATCTGGTAAGGCCCCTGCCATTGCAATCTTGCCAAACTTAGCAAACCATACCATGTAGTATCCAGATGAGAACCATATTATTTTGTCAGTCAATGTGTACCAACTGAAGAATCTAAAAGACCTTCTTCACATATTTTCCCTAGCAACTTAGCTCAAAATAATCACTACAAGTCAATATGTTCCCAATCAACATACCTGAAGATAGGATTCAACTCTTCAAGGGCGTTCTGCAATTCCATGTAGGTACTTTGCCTTTCACTTATCTTGGATTGCACCTGTATCACTAAACTGTAGGAGTTTTTCATGTCACCCATATCCAGAATCCAAAGAAGGCTTTCAAGATGGTCTCATTTCTTTAGCTTTGGTGGCAAGCTCCAATTGGTGAATGTAGTTCTGCCTTCTTTGCCCATATTATTCTTAAGCTACCTCAAAGTATATAAGTGGGTAACTGAAGAAGTGGATAAAGGATATCTACTCCAGTGTCACTTGGGCTTAGCCATAGAGTGATATCAACTCTAGTGTTACCAGTGTTAAACGTAGTAGAAAACAAAAAATTCGGGCTTACGAGTAAAAACCCATGATCACTATGAAGATGCAAATATATTTGATCTAATATTTACCAACGAACGCAACATAGATTAGAGGTTGGTGAAGATTGTTGATGCAGATTCCTGCAAATCGGATTAAACCACCCAACCACGGGAACCATTTCTTTTCATTCGTGGATCAAAGGAACGACCCCCATGCCGCTATCCAAGTGTACGAGATCACCAATCCAGCACATATTCGCCGTCCAAAAAGAAGACCTACTGGAGACCTGGATATGTAGGTGGAGCAGCCTTACGCCATTGAGAACTTTCTGAGAGGGAGAGAGAGAGAGAGAGGGTGCAACCTTCAAGCATAGAATTGTGTTTGGAGGGCTTCCCCTCCTCAGGTATTTATAGGCACATGGGAGGAGGCCACCTTAGAGCAGGGGCTCTACCACAATGGGGTGTGGCGCCCCCAACCCTAGCCACCCCAAACTTGCCCCTCAAGGCAAAGGGGGGGGGGGGCGCTGGCCCCTACATGGGGTTTCCCCCCAAGTGGATGCCCCACTTAGCCCATCCAAGGGAGAATACCTCTAGTGCATCCCCGAATATTCTGGAAGGTTTTAGAACATTCTAAAACATTCCCGGACCTTTCGGTGGCTTCCACGACACTCCGGGACTTGCTTGGTTTTCCCAAAAAACCC